TATTTCTATTTCCATCCGAGCATTCTTTTATTAATTGTTGTATTTTGGTTTCCTTGGATGCAGGATCTGAAATATAAACATAAATAATGTAACACTAAGTCGGATGACATGACTAGCTTTGTAGTTAACATTGTACCGCAAAAAATCTATAAGATGATTACTTTACATTGTTGCATATACAGAAACCATGTGATTGGTTGTCAGGGCAAACATTGTTTAATGCGTTAAACTTGTAGAGCAGTATCCCTAACAGCAGATTAGTGATTGGAAGATTGACAGTTAGATTTGAGATGATATTTAACTTACTTATCTCTTGATCTAAAGTTTGTAAATATAACCTAACAGCCTCGTAATCACACTTCAGAATGAAAGGAATCAACGATTGGATCTAGAGGAGAAAGCAGAAACATTTTGTACATTTATAACAATGTAATGTAGTCTACCCGATAAGACGACTTATCAAGAAGTTGGCAAAGCAAAAGTAGAAATATGCACATTTGCTTATGTTACAAGCTTTACATTTATTTAATAGTGCTTGGTTAAGACAGGTTTTACTGCTAAGGAATGGCCAAATGATGGCATTGTAAGGTTTCACTGGAAAAGATGTAGATGTGCAAGGGATTCAGAAAGCTGGTCAGTATTTATAAAAAAAAAAACATGATTCAATATACAAAGAGAAAATAATGGATTGTGTTTAAATGTTGGGAGAGTATTCAGCGTGGTAACATGCTTATACCCACTGAGCACTTGAACAAAATCAGTCAAAGCATGTCTGAGAAATGGTAACAAGTCATGTGTATACTATTATTTTTGTCTTTGTCTCAAATTTTAAAAGATTTGGTTGAAGACACTGGTGAGGTTGAGACCACATGGTCAAAATAGCTCTGCTTGTATTTTAGAGCGCCTTTTCTCTGAGACCAGCATACCAAGTGTCAAAGCAATCAAGATGGTAATTTTCAAGAAGACAATAATAATGTTATTTTTTTTACCCAAAATGACAATTATAATGCCTAAAAATTGAAAATGTCATGAAATAAACAAGTTTGACAAAGGCCTACAAATTGGTACCTACATACGAAATATTAAAGCAATTGAGCTAGTAGTTTTCAAGAAGAAGTCAAAAATAACAAGAAAAAAACAACAATCATCCTGTGAAAAATTCACAACTGTTTGTAGATACCTTTATTTTGTAATCAAACACAGGAATAATATTGTTATAATTCCATCTGCCACAATTCTCTCAAATTTAATTATATCACATGTTTGATGGTCTATATTCATACTAAGCGAGTAGTCAGCTTAGGAAATAACTCCCACAACTCGATTGATGATGGGTAGATACAATAACCACTTGTACTATACCAGGCTAAGAGTGCACATAATAGATATAGAAGATGAAAATTAAATTGTGAAAAAAGTCTCAATTTTACCTGTAATGCCATAACAATAATGGCAGCTCTATTTTTGAGTATTCCACTAATGGTGTTAATCATATGGTAAGTACCAACTCCCATACACTGTACTGGTGGCATATCTAACCATATTGGATCACGTACACCACCTACGGCATCCTTAGCTAGCGGATATATAGCACCGTTACCGTCTTGTAATACACTACATGTGTCCTGTGAATAGAAAACACCAGTAATCAGAGTAGCCAGACAACATTTGAGAATATAAGCTAGAAATATCGTAAGTATTTGTTATGCAACATGCATAGACCTGAAATTCAAAAGAGCTCATATATAGAAATGCATTTAAATTCGAAAATTGTGATATTAGTTATTGTATTAGACACACATACCTGCATATACACATTTTCTATTAATCAAGCTCTCTCGTGACAAAGCACTTCTATGATGTTAATGTCTGATACAAAACCATTCAAAATGTCAATATCGTTTTGAACTGTATTTAGTTCATCAATAAAGACTATGATTGATTTTAATATATCGTAGATGAATAGCGACCACACAATCGCAGAGTGGTCAATTTAATTTACATTGCCTTCACTCGTGTACATCATTTTGAAGGTACAGAGGTGCATATGCCAGTAGAAGACTCCATTTATAGGAATGGTATACTCAACTGAGATCTGATTTTTCAAAAATTTAAATTATGAGAGAATAAGCATTTGAAGACAAAGAAATATTGGACTATCTCACCTGACCAGCTGTGTGGAGAGATACATTTTTGTCATTCTGTCCAAGAAATCCATTTATCTCGGTCGGAAATAAACTTTCACTTTCTATCTTGCCAGAACCAACTTCGCACACTACCAGCTTGAGGCTTGAACCCACTTTTAAACCACATGTACTCCTGAAAACAAGATGTATTCATTGAGATTAGCATGTCAACCTCACATAAGATTACAATGATTGCACTCCAGTCCAACAGTATGCAAATATGACATGGTACTCATGAGAAGAGCTGCTTGTCAAGATTGTGTTACATGTATTTACTTTTTGATGCTGCGGAATCCTACTTCAAATCTGAACAAAATGAAAAATAGAAGCAAAAAGGCCGAACTTGTTGAGGATTTTGCTCCATTAGCAGTGCATTTTCAATAGTAATTCACCAAAAATGCTGTATTCTGTAAATCATAAGATATTACTTATTTTGAGCATCTCAGATATTACACATTGAAATGAACTGAAATTACACACAGTCACTACTAACCCCTTGCATCAACAGCTACAGCTAGGATATGGGCATTCTCTGGTAATATTATCTTTTTTGGTGTACGCTGGAAACACTCTGGTATCTTGGGAGAAGTGCCTGATTTTACAACCTGGGTAAAAGAACAATAGATATTATAGTGAAATGTGAACCTGTACATGTGATAATGATAATTACAGTCAATAATCATATGATATTGTCATCGTAGTTTAAAGCTGGTAGTGTTATAAATTACTAAAATATTTCTACAAATATCCATGAGATTATGTAAATGGTTTAATTGTGTGCTAACATGGTTGGCTATAGTGTTCAATCACAAGTAAACAAGACATGAGCAGATACAGTATGTGCCAGATTAGTACAAAGGACAGAACCGTGAGAGTAGATAGGAATACTTTGATGGTTGAATGATACAGTACTGTAGTAAGTGATAGAGTAAACCAGTAACATAAAAATCAAGGTCAAGCTAATGTGTGTTGCTCTATCAAGGTTTACTTTAGAGATGGTTAATATTACCTGTAGTTGGTCTAATCTTAATAATCTACAATCTTGTAATAACGATAATGGATCTTCAGAGCCGCTAGCTTGACTATCTCGGGTTGGAAAACGAACAGCTGCGTATTCACCATCAACCTACAATAAGAAAATGTGACATATTAAATATATTTTAAAGGAAGTGCTTGGTGCATAAAATTGTAATCATGATTCAAAGCACTATAAGGTACTACATGCTTAGATTGGAGAAACAAGACAATGCAGGTCTTGAAAAACTTTGAGTCAAACGTAATATAGGTACAGTTTGGTACTAGCAAGGAGTGCAAAGCAAAGCAATACTAGTTACTCACAGCAAAGCAGATGGTCATGGTTGAAAGTGTGGTGTGTACATAATAGATACTGTCATTAGCTTAAACCAGTCTACATATTAAAAGCATAGGTAGTCCTACAACTGAAGTGAACACCAAGTTCTACACTGAATTAATCATCTCACGGCTATTTCACTACAGAAAGATTGCAGGGTAGTCATAGATGCAAGATGACATGTTTACCTTCAGAACTTTTCCAACGGGTGCATTTTTCACATCTTCAACAAAAACCACATCTTTCAATGGCCAGTTTTCTTCATCTGACTTGTCATTGACTTCTTTAATTGGTGACGGTGCAGATCTCTTACTACCCCTTCCTGGAAACACAATTGAAAGTTGTTAGGTAACAGAAAAACTTATCTAAACTTAATCCTGTTTATTTAAGAAATATGTCTAAACTGTTTACCATCCCTTCTATATGAACTTATATGCTTTTAAGTAGCGGAATAGTTTTTTGGGCACTTTTCACATTTTTTTTTGAAAATCACAAGCATAGCTCCATAAGGCATGCCACATACATTAGTGTATTTATTTTATTGAAAAAATAATATCTTGTACAAGTAAACTGGTTTTTTCCTTGTGTGCAAACAAATACCCAAGTTTTTTGTTTATCCAGTGTACACCCCATGAGTGCTTCTCATTAATATTCATGGTTAACAAACATAACTGAACTGGGGCTAAGCTATTTACAAACAACTGATAAGATATCTGTTCGTAGTTTACACACAGCTGATAAGATGTGTGCACTGCTTCGTTTCAAGAGGAGGAAGCTGTACAGCAAAAACAAAAACAAAAAACACTTTCGAAACACAACAAATTTTGTATAAACAAAATAGTACATGAGTGTATCACATGTTACCGGATTTTGCCATAAATTCGCCCGGGCCGTTTAACGGCAGTTTGGTATTTTTTAAGATTTTTTTAAAAATATTTTGGGAAGACAAATTTATGTTCTAAATGTTATTTTAATAAATCTGTTGTCAAAATAAAAGTACAATGTCACAGTTGGAGATTTTTTTTTTTTTTTTATTTCTGTTTGATACATTATATGCTTTTTAGGATCAGATCGGGGGGCCTTGACCCTTACCGAGTCCCGTGTTGAT